ATCTTTACATGAAACATGGCACTCTGCTCTTTAGAGATTGCAGCCCAGAATCTTTTAATCAGTTTACACTGCCAGAAATAATGATAGTATGTACCAACCTCTCTTCCACATTTGGTACATAGGGGAGAAAGCTGCCGATCCATCTTATTCAGTATAAAGGGTGTTATATGTAAGCGATGTAGAATCTTATACTGTGCACTTTTTAATGCCTTAGAGGTTAAAGAACTTTGATTGCCCTAAAATCCAAGTGGATGTTCATCCTGTTTGTTAGTCTGTCAGTGCTGTTGAAGGGCTTTTCTGAGTTTAATTTGCTTTCTTTGTATTTCCCACCAACTAATTAGTTACAACTTAGTTGGAAATCCAGTTTTAAGGTGTGAAGACCAGGGATGGGGAGGCAGACCACCGACTTGTGAAGGTAGGTCACCTTTATGTTGATTTCATCTTATATGAAATTGAAATTAATTGAAATATGTTTCAGTTGAAAGGTGATTTTGTTTTGCAGTGATTCGGTGTGTTGCACCAGATGGAGTTGTAAATGGTACATTTACACCACAGAAAGAAAACTATGAATACAACAGTGTTGTGCAGTATGTCTGCAACAAAGATTTTGTGCGCAATGGATCAAGTGAGTTAGTCTGCTCTGAAGATGGGAAATTCCATCCTGACCCTCCAACCTGTATCTGTAAGTGTTCTGCTGCTTTTAGTCTCAGATTCGTTACCATAATTATGATTACTGTTGTTACAGTAATGTTTTCCTTTCCATTTACTTTAAGGGGTTGAATGTGAGGATCCTGTAATTAAACATGCTGTCTACGTACAAGGTTCTCGTCCTCCACACAGATACAAGGCCAGCTTGACATACAGCTGTGAAAATGGATACAATTTACATGGATCACCTACCATAACCTGCACCATAGACAGTCAGTGGTCTCCAGCGTTACCAAGCTGCATAAGTAAGTCGAGCATCGGAAATGCTTAAGAGAATCTCACAAAGTTAAACACAACCATCAGTCTTTTGTAAATGTTCAATTATATCTTTTAATGGACAATATTGAAGATACTATAAACCGATCTGAAGTACAGTAGTCAGTGTACAGCTAGTATAATAGCTTAAATTTCCCGTCTGCTAAAATTAGCTCAACACACGCAATAATCTTTAAACTGCTAGAAAAGCTTTGGCACATGGGCGGTATGATTTAGGTGTTGCACATTTTTTACTTCTTTGTAAGCTATTGAGTACATTTTTATTCCATTATTGTTCTAAGCAAAGAACACATTTTTTAAATGGAAATTTAAAACAATACAGTCTAAAAAACACTTGAGAAATATTTTAATACAAAAAAGGTTTGAAGGGTAATTCATGTTTTCACTTTTTGTGTTGCCTCTTTTTTTATTTTTGTTTTTACAATTTTTACAGATTTTAAAATTTCTAATATTTTTTTTATTTTTTAACATATTTTATAGATATTCTTTTTCAAATATAGATGCTTTTTTCAGATTAAATCGCCTTTAAAGATCACTTTCTCTTCGTTTTGGAGGTTGGCCTTTCCTCTGGATTGAGGATCATTCCTGTTGTTCTGCATAGATGTCAGTAACAACATTGTTTTGATCAATGTTCATGTCAAGAGCAAAGTTTGTGTTGGGCTTAAAAAAAATATGCAAAAAACTACTGAAAAAATAATTTGAAAAAATAAAAATTTGAAAGAATAAAATTTTAAAAAATATCAATCAATTTTTGTAAAGTTTTAAACTGTGAAATTGTGATATTAAATCAAATAATTTGAAACGAATTAGAAAAAAAATCTGAAAAAAAAAAAAAACCCGGCAAAGTTATTCTCAACGTTTTTTGATTAAAACATTTTTCAGTTGCATTTCTGGATTGCGTTTCTTTTATATAAATAATTTTACGAAATTGTATTTTTTTTTAAAGTTTCTATTCACAAAAAAGTGTTTTTTTTTTTTGTTTTCAAGAATAATAGAACAAAAATGACTCCACAGCAGTCATTTAATTTTTAATTATTGGATTTTCAGAGGGCCCCGCTGTCTGTTAATGACATAAGAGGTGCATTTCAAAGTTTTGAGCTTTGCTGTTAGTGTGGTGTGATAGTATACAGTATTTAATACTGTCATGTAGATGTATTAACAGAAACTTAACAGTTTGCCTCTGTCGAGGTATTGTGGTCATGTGCAGATCGATTTGCTTTATTTAGCAACGTTTGGTCTCAAGTGTGACCTTTTTTCTCTGTGGTGCAACAAAAAAGAAATCAGAGGTCGAACAACAAAAGGATTTCAAAGTTTGAAGGTTTTCCTGTGGCATATTGGCATTGTCAGACTATTTCTACCAGGATGTGTCCAGTTTAAACCATTATAATAAAAAAAGAAACCTGCATATTTCTGAAATGCTAAAATAACAAGAAAACAACATAAACCCTCTTTTAAGATTCTTCTCAGGCTGATGGAGCATTGTTACAGTGTGGCTCCAACGAAATTCTATATGGGCTTAAAAAAGGTTCTGTCCCTGAAATGAAATATGCTGCGCTTTTTCATTTTTAGGAATTTCATCTTTACTGAGGAACATTAGACAGAACTCTTAATTAATGAAGTTGTGTTTTTTTATAGTTCTTAAAGTGATGAATGATAGCCTAAAGGTTAAAGGAGGGTGTTTTTTTTTTTGTTTTTGTTTTTTCCCCCAGGATATTTGGTGAAATGATGATAATATCTTTAATTAAATTCTGCTTTTTTAGAAACTGAAGTGCCGACTACACCTCCTTCCAACACCACAACAGCTGCTCCTTCTACTACTACTACCAGTAGTACTACTACTAGTCCTACTACTCCTACTACTACTACTACTACTACTACTACTACTACTACTACTACTACTGCTGCTGCTGGCACCACTACTGCTACTACTGCCACCAAAACATCTCCTGGAGGTACAAAGCTTGTCAAATTACAGGTTCCTATTGAATGTTCATCCAAATATGTAACTTTTGGGTTTTGATATAGGCATGAGAATGTATTTTTGGTGCTACGATCTCTGCTTAAATAAAAGAAAAAAACAACAGTAGTGTGATCAGGTGTGCTATTATGACAACCGAAAGGGGAAGAAATCATTTAATTAAATTCCTTTAGACAAAAAGTAAATTTTATTTCCTTAAAGTTGAGGTTTAAGATTTGAGTTAGAGGATTTTAGCTATATTTAAAAAGGGCCAAGTCTACTTTTTAAGATCTCTTTTTTTATATTTAATTTTTTTGCTCATTTATCTTCTTGTGGCTCTAAGTAAATAGGGTTCCCATCTGGCTCTCTTATTGATAAAATAATTGATGATTTCTTCTTGCTTTTACAAGTCACAAACCAGTGGCGTTGTACTATAAAAGTGCAGTCACTATATGTTACAGCATTTCAACTGTAAGAGCTTTAATGTTGAAGTTTATGCACACAAGAAAAGAAAATGACTTTGGTCGAACATACTCTCAAAGTACACACAGATATAATTGTTCAAACTTAAGACAAAGTTAAATAAAAAATTTATTTTTTTAATGTAAATATACTGTTGGTTTATTAAATCATCACCCAGTATCAGCTGATGTTAGAAATATAAGATGAGTCTTTAAATAAATTTTTATTCTTGTGTCTCTTGTTTCTATTCTTCCTCCTTGCTTTTTTACAGGGAATGGACATTGTCTTTCACCAAGGATTACTGCTCTGATAGGTAAGTTTACCCTCTTTCTTAACCTGTGTGTTCACAATAAACAGATTAAAGCCTAATTAAAATCCGTATGATCCCAGAGGAACAATGTGGCTATAATACCACAGATTATTGAGAACCTATATTATAGTAATCAATAGATTTTTCCCTTTATTGGTTGTCTTAGTTTTAGACTAACAAATTAATCTGTAATTTTCTTTAGTTTATTGTTTTTTGTTTTTTTTTACTTCTTTGTTTACACAGCAGTTGTGTAGAATTCCAAAACTGTAATGTAGATAGATACCTAAATATAACTGAGGAGGTGAAGGGACACACTTTTGGACAATTTGCTGTAATTTTTTTTTTTGTTTATTTGTTTGGAACATCATTGAATGGCAAACACTATATGATTTTGAATTTTTATAATCAAGTTTCTTCATCTTGGTGAAGCTTTCACATTTGACCTGTTTTCTTTTTCTTTTTCCAAAAAGCTTTTGTTTAATCAGTCCCAGTTCTGTTCAAACTGAATCATTCCAAGGGATCATATTAAGTGTTTGCATTTGTTTGCAAAAAAGTTGATATTTTTTAAATGTATTTAATACGTGTAAAGCTATTTATTAAATCTGCAAGTAAAACACTTTTCAATCTAAAGACTACCTGGGGATACTTTGGGGTACTGAGACTCTTTCAGAAAAATCATCTTAAAACTTCTGATTATTTTCCCCCTCAACATAGCTATCTTAACTGTCCTCATCTTCATCACCATTGTCCTATTCTTCATCTACAGAAAGCAACGGTAAATCTTTTTTTTTCTGATCATTGGACTCTGCTTCATTTAAATGTTGGTTGCTTGGCTTTCTTTTTTTTTCTTTTCTCTGTCTGGCCGCTACCAATGAGATTTTGTATCTTTACTGTCTGAGCTTTCCTTGTCTGACCTTTCTCCCTGTTGCATGTTGAAGTTTTTTTTCTCCTTGAAGTAGGAATTTGTATTGCAAGAACCAACAATAGAAATTACAAATGTATTTGGAAAAAATCAGTCACAATTTACCACCTTTAAGACATTGTTCACATGTCCATCATCAGATGAATAGAAGCTGCTTTTAAGCCCAGATATATGTCTTTGCCCATTTCTACACTATCCAAGCCGTCATTGGCTCATGTTTTCTGCCAGCCAGGGGGGGATTTGCCATTAGGAAATACTAGGCAGTTGCCTAGGGCCCCAAGGGTTGCGAACTTAGCTCTTTTGTTGCTATATTTAGTGACTTTTCAGACCCCTTTAGCACTTATATAAAAAAAAAAGCCCCTAGTGCCAAATCTAGTGATTCTTTTATTATTATTTGTTTTTATTATTATTTATTTATTTTTTGCTACTGGAGACTTTGGCAAAAACATATTAAAGCAGCAAACTCTGCTCTCCAGAGCAAGTGAATTTGTAAGCCCGCCTCCTGCTCTTATCTATCTTTTCTGCTGTAAGCTATTATTTCATTCAAATGAAAAATTGAGAACAGATAAGCAGATCATGGCTTGTCTACAGTGAAAAGAAGGACTGTTATTTACTTTTGCCGTCGCCTTTTTGGAAACACAGGAAGGAGCAATCGGCTAAGTGTGCGTAGTGCTTGGAAAAAATCTTTAATTCCTTTTGAGACGGCATGAAAAGTCAGCTAGTAGTACAAAAGATAGAGGAAAACAGCAAGAAAAGGGACAAGAAGAGAGGGACAAAACGTAGAACAAATTATGTATGTCCATTCTATTAAAATTTCTGTATCTGTATAATGGATTTGTCTTCTGAATTCAGAGGACCCCCTTCCTGTCTTTGCCTAGGGCCCCAAATTTGTGAAATCCGCCCCTGCAGCCAGTAACTATATTTGGGAATTAGTTAATAAACAGCCCTTTTCTTACATTTTTATCTTGTGATCTATTTCATTTTTCTAAGATAAAACAGAACGTTAATGTAGATATTTTTATGAACACATTGATTTCTTTCGACCAGCATGAGTAGATAAACATCAAAAGGTGATAAAACTCAAAGAATCACTAGATGCATTTGGAAAATGGGCCTCAAACGGCTTAGATTCTGAGCTTAGGTTGCAATCCCCCTAAATTTAGGAAGGTCTTTACAGACTATATACGTAAAAAGAGAAGAAGCATCATCCAACGCAAACTGAAGAAAGAATTGCAGAAAAGATAAAATAGGTGAAGAAAAGGAAGATGGTTTATCAGATTTAAAAGACAGCATAAGAAAAAATTAACTGGAAGAAGAAGAAAAAAAAAAAAAGATTGATAAAAAAAAAAAAAGAT